TCATCACTCTACCGCCCTCCGGGCAATGGAGAGAGGACGTTAACCACAGGTCTCCCCACCCCAGGCTGAGCCCATCACACCCCTCTAGCTGCAGGCATCCTGCAGTCAGGCCAGACCACTGAGCCACCCCTCAGCGGGTTGTGCAAAGGCGTCCAGGTGCTCTTTTAAACAAAAAGAAAGTCAGACTCATTGGTTTGAGAACAATTCGTAGCTCATGCTCTATATACATTTAGTGTAGCTGCGGTACAAAAAACTCACACAATCATCTCCTGATTTTATGCATTTCTGGCAACTCTCATCAGCCATGTGGTTTAGGGTTTCTTTATAAATTCAGACAATGGCTGTGATGAATTTATCCTGAATTATTTCTCCATTGATTCCTTTTTGACCACGATGTTGAGGTGTTTGAATACAGCGTGGTCCTTATCCTTTCCCCACCTTGTTTTATTTCAAAAGAAAAAGCCTGTCTTCACTTGCTTAATCATCTCTATTAAAATTTTGTGCCTTTATTACCACCTATTTTCTCTTTCCTGCTTACCCAATTATCTTTTCTGCCATGCTTTCCTGATTTTATTTAAAAAACCCAACCCCTTCTCCTAAAAGTCATTCTTTTGTCACTGTTGGCAATTTCACGGTATTTATCAACTCCCTTTTTTCGCCAATAAACGCCTTATTATGCCCATAGGAAAACACTAGGTACTTGGTATATGCAACACACAGCCCCTACTTTCGACCTTACCTCTACTTTCCCACTTTTCTTTAATCATTTGTTTGTACCTCCAAACTTATCTACTTAGGGGTCTACTGTCCTTGTACAGAAATCTTTCATCCTCTTTGAAAGAGTAACCTCCTCTGTATTCATTATATTTACTCTCCACTTCCTATGCATCTCAATGGTACTATTAAAAACAATTTCCTAGGAATTGAAGCATTAATACTGGTTATATGATGATTAATGATTGTTGTGTGCGTGTGTGTGTGTGGTTTTGTTTTTAAAAGTGAGACCTTACCATTTGAGATAAGTTCTGAAATATTTATAGATAAGATACAATCTCTGAGATTTGTTTTGAAAAACATGAGAAGGGGTGGTGGGGAACACAGATGGGGCCAGACTGGCCACAGGTGTTGGGCCTGGCTGATAAGTCCATGGAGGGGTCCTTATACTCTTCCATCTACCCATTTCAATATTCTCCACAATAAAAAGGCAAAAAGTTTTTTCTCTTCACTTGTACAGTCTGGGCTACTCTCTAAGATCTAATACAATGAGATGACTTTTGCCATTTAAATGGTGCTACAAAATCCAATACCAAAATACAAAATTATTATATACTATGTTATATATATTAATAATAGTTATCATTTATTATTTACTATGTACTAGGCTACCAGGGATTGTTAAGGTGATTTACACAAATTATCTCATTTATTCTTCACAATAAGCTTATCGGGTAGTTATCACTAAAGGCTCAGAGAGGTTAAGCAACTTGCCCAGTATCATCAGGATGGAAATAAACACTTTGAATGTTCATTATAAGTACGAAGAAAATAATTATTCCCACAATAACTCAAAACACAACGCTCACATCCATATTGATGTACTTCATTTGCAAATTATCATAAGCTATCAAGACTTGGCCAAAGAGAAAGTTGAAATCAGTTTACATTTACCTAGTTAAGTCAATACTTTGACTTACAAATTTTATTTGCATTCATAATAAAATCAAAATGCTAGCTGACTGTGCAGAGTCACTGTTTACAGCCACAATTGCAGGAGAGAGGTAGCAAAGTTTAAAGGCAGCAGGTTTAGCTTTAAGGCAGTAGGTTCAGCCCCCCTTAAAATTATCAAAAACCATGTACATTTATGGGAAATCTGGCCCTAAAGATGATACTAATCAATCCTCTATGTTAGGGCATTGAATCCTGAGTAGTTCACAGACATAAAATTTAGCGATTACTTCATATCAGCTTTTAAAAGTTTCATGCAATTGTGGATTTTAATGTAGCACAATTCCTTAAAATTGTCAATATTGTTTCCTTAATGGAACTAGCGCATTCCTAAAAACACATGCATTTTTTATAAATTCTTACTATTGGCTTTAACTGAAAAGCTGAAGACATTTTCCTCTGGAAAATATTTAAATCTCAGGAAACAAAACTTCTTGAGAATGCCTACTTAAGAGCAAATTTTTTTTCAGTTCGTGCAACCTGCTGGCTTTTAAAAAGGGTGAGTTTCTTGGGCATGAAAGGAAAACACAGGAGACACACAAATCTTTGCAGTTGTGAACGAACAAATGAGAGTACACGCTTCCTGGAACAAATCTCACTAAATGAGTATGTTTACTAAAAAACACGTCAGTCAGGGGGACTAGAAAAGGCTATAAAAGGTTTTTAAGAAATTTCAAAGCGATTCAGCGTGTAACAAATTCAGTAACAAATGTCTTTATACAATTTCTTCAAAAGCCAGGTCCTTCCCCTAGCATATGTTATTTTATTTACAAAAACGTACATACAGATTCTCAGGAAACTGAGGTATTAGAAAATTGAGATATATTCATACAGCAAAGAGGTAGTCATGAAAATCCACCATAACTGAAAATGAGTTTATTTCTTAACATTATAAAAATGTTACATTATAACCTCTGTATTGTTTACATTTTTTTAAGTAGTAGAAAATAGATTTTGGCACTTTGGTGGTCTTTGTTATTCCTAGGTCTTTTTCATATGAGGATTCAACACTGATTGCTATCAAGACAACTGGGGCTTGGAGCCTTTCCCCAGCAGTGCTAACTGGCTGTACTGAGCCTGGCACTTCTTTGGCCGGGTGTTTCCCATCCCCACTCTTGCCCTTCTGACGGATTAACCCTTACAAAATCCAGCTAGAATCATGGATGACACACCATGGCCAGAGAACACAGCAAAATTAGTCTGATTCTCTCAGCAACAAAAACACCTGCCCTTGTATCAGCATTAATGATCTTCCCAAATCAGGAAAAAAAAAAAAAATGAGTCAAGAATATACCTCCATGTTCCACTTTGACCACTGGTAAAATGAAAAGTGACCAACCTCATTGAGAGGTGAAATGACTTCAAATTCATCTAAAATAAGAAATTATTAGGCTTAACTATGTAAAATGTTTTAATGCTAAAAAGATATGACAGTCTCATCAGAAACCAATTTTTGGCACTTGAATCTGTGCATCTCTGCAATCCAAAGAACTTCCAAATAATAAAAACAAAGAGGGCTGCTTTTTTCAGAAGTGCTACCACACAACGGGGGCAGGGAAAGGTGGTGTCAGACACTGTGGTGACAATGAAATTGTCAATATAAACAGTGCAGCTACCCTCTTTTGCTCAGAGGTAATTTTTAATTGTGATCCTTCTATTTCATATTCCAATAAATGAGATAGCATGATCTAAAAAATCCTATTCAAAAAATGCTTTCCTCAGTTATTACTGCTTAAATATTATCTAAAGGTATGCTGTCCAATACAGTAGCCACTAACCATGTGGCTATTTAAATTTCAATAAAATTAAAAATCCACTTCTTCAAATCATACTAGCCTCCCTTCAGGGACTCAGTAGCTACATGTGACTATTGGCTACCACATTGGAGAGCATAAAGAACATTTCTGTCATCATAAAGAGTGCACCTGGACAGCAATGATCTGAAGAAAGTGCAGCATGCTATATGCTCTTGAGACTTTTCACTCGCTTTTTAAAAATACCACTATCTCTGGGCTACAGGTTAATATTGATCTCTGTTCATAGGTGTGAAAGAATAGTATCAATTTTGTGGTCCTTAGACAATTTATGAAATATTCAGAGTCCCATATTAAGGCCCAGGGAAAACAGGAACTCAGAAAATTGACAACATGACTATAAAAGAACAAAGTGAAGATTTGGCATGCATAAAAGTAATTTAGCAGCCATATGACTAAAACAGATCTCTTCCTTCCACTAGTATCCATAAATCTTGAAATACGAAAGCATGCGTAACTACCATTTAAAGCTTCTCATAAGAATGGAGAAAAAACCCGTTAGATATTGCTCTATTTTGCTTTGGTGTCTTAGTAAGGGGAAAAAAACATTACTTAAGTACAAAAAATAGTAAATTAAAAACTGTCTTAGAAATAAATTGCTATGGAACAAGGACAAAAAAAAGTTTTGGTTTAATGCATGCAAAAAATGCTCTCATTTGTATTGATATGTGACACATGAGTTGACTAACTTTGACTACTTTTAGGGAAATCAAGTTCATGTTGTTATTTTCAAATTTACTTTGCCAGAACACAAAGTAGAGAGACAACAACTGCATACATATCACTTCTTCCAAATAACTCTTGGATGGGAGGCAGGAACTGGGGAAGAGACAGATTGCTTGGTTTTTTTTCTTAATGGGTATAAGTAAAACAACTCAATCATAAAATGCACACAGCTGTATCTAAAAGAAAAATGCAAACACAACTTAACCATACTTTATTTGACTGCATCTTATTTAGACAGCTTGCACATTTCAAATCCCATTAAATCTCTCTCTCCAAAAGGATACGGGACAATAGAAGAAAATTATGCAGCAATATCCAGTCATCAAACAGCAGTCCAATATTTTGAGATACACGTGATATTTTATAGATAAACTCATATCTGACGTCAATATAATTTATGGTTATGTTTTCACAAACCTGAAAGCCCTGTAACATTATAGTACTCATTTAGTGATGTCATGGTGCACTGAAAAAGAACTCTGATGCACTACCAATTTCCTTTTATGTATGCTCCTGGAAAGTGATGAACTTCATGATTTTTAGACACCATAATAAATATACACATCCAGTCTTACACATGTCAGCCAATACTATAACACAGGGCAAGGTAAAGTTAAAATGTGACAGACAAACTCCTTTACATAGATTTGTCAAGCCAAGTGGGGAGGGTAATCTGGGGAAGAGGCAGAAAATATTAAAACCAATTTTTTAATAGTAATTTTTTTTCTTTTTTTCTTTTGCTGGCTTCAACTTCAACAACTACTGTCTGGTTTTTGACCTGTGGACTTCTCTAGAGTAGTTTCATCCTAACGTAAGGGAATCAGCCCAAAGATCAAAAATGGTAGTATACCCGTTAGCTTCTTCAATACTAACATATATAGATAGCTTCATGGTAGCATGTATAAAAATGTTCAGCAGTACCACTGCCAAACCAGTGTCAGTGGATAGTACAGTCAGTCTTAAAGAGGCAGCACCCCATTAAAAGAAAGTTGCACCAATTTTGCTCAGTTTTAGCCAAGTGAACCTACTCTATCAATTTTAAATGGAATTGTTTTAAGATTACATAAGAAAAATGAAAGCCCAATATCAAAATATAAATTAATGTCTGATGCTCCTTCAACTAGAACAGAGACAATTTTGGTGCTGGGTTATCATGCTCGAGATTAAAATTTTGCATACCCAATTAAAGACATAAGGTAGACAATGATATTCAACACATTCCAGCTGAACAATACAGCAACTATTTGACTTTTTAGTCACATGGGTAAGGTCATGTTTACAAACACCCAGTAGATTCAGCAAAACTTGGTCAATTTGGGGGAAGAGGTCAGTAGTGATGGTTTCATTGACAACCTGCCAAAAACGTCATGGTTGAACTGCAAATCTAGCATGTATCTACTCTAGGACTTGTCCCCATTAATGAGTCAAGCAAACGAATGTTCATCAACAATCATTACCTATGAACCAGCAAGTCAACTATAAAGTGGTGACATAAAATTTGATAACGTAAGTACTGAACTGTTTTATTTAGTTCGGTTCCCTCCATATTAAAAATAACTGAAGCATCACTATGACTGGTATTCCTCTAAATGCTAAAGCCCAAATGAAGTTTGACCAAAAACATACTGAATATCATGCTGAATACTGTGTGCTCATCATATTTTTAATGTAACCAGTATTCTGCCCATTAAACTTTTAAGAGCACTATAAAATGAAAAGAAAAAGTTTTCTTTAAAAATAAGGAACTATAAATATAAATGATCCCACCAGCAGGAAGATTTTATTTTCACCAAATTTGTATATCTTTATTTTGAAGGTACTTGTTACCACGTTCACTTTCAAGACACTACACTGAGCAAGGAGCAGCTTTCCTTTAAAAAAAGAAAAAAAAAAAGGCAACAAACTTTCCTGAAAGGGGGCTTTTACCAACTGTTAATGGAGGTAGGGTTTTTTAAAATACAGTAATTATAGCCATAAAATAAATTTCAAACCAAATCCTAGAGCAGAAGTAAAGCATATCCAAATTAAAGAAAACATCACATAGATTCCTACAAAACATTTTTCACAGAGAATGAATTTTATGGGTACCTAGGTTTTCCAGTTAAATAAATTATCCATCACAGGCTTCCTGACTCAACTGAAAGCAATTGACTTTAAAATTTATTACATTGCACAGACTGGCCAAAACACAATGTAACTAATGAACATGGTGATGGCAATTAAGAAAACCCATAGAACTTATTCCTAAAAAAATTTCCATTTCTCCTTTTTGTTTTTCTGGGAACTAAGCAAAGCTCCCCCAAGAATTTGCTCAAATAAGTGAAAAGAAAATAAAATCAGTTTAAGATGGATAGAATACATCTTGAAATTTATTTCCAAGACCAAGAACCAAAAGTGAAACATTTTAAGAAATGGAAGCAATGTGAATCCAAATCAAGTGGGGAAAAAAGGTCCAACTACTTTGTAAAAGCTGTTCTTCACAGCTTAGCAATAATTCTGATTAAATAAAATCATACCAATTTACATTAATTTTCTATTCTTTCCCAAAAATTCCCTCACAAAAAAAAAGTGCATCCAAAACCCAGCAATTCCCGGCTCCATCAACTTTTCTCACCCCTTTTGAGCCATTTCTCAAAGATTTTCCAAGTAGATTCAACTTCTTACTGTAAGGAAAGAAGGGACTTCTAAAGTAAACCATTCTGTCACTCACCTGGAAAAAGTATCCAAATTATAAAAATCTGAAATAATTTATTATCAAATTTAGAATTTAAATAAAAACAAAAGTTTGCTTGCAAAGGCCTTAAAGAAAAGGAAAAGACAGCATGCATTCAAAAACTAGAGATGAAGACAAATATACTTATCTACACAGGCACTGGCAGACGCAATTTAATTGTTATCTTTACTCATTGTAAGACACACCCAACCCTACATAACATCTTATTCATTCACTAATCACTGAGGTACCAATACTCAAGAATGGAAAATTTAATATTGGAAAAATAAAACCTAAAATTGAAGCTTTCCCTCATCCCCTTCAGAAAACTATGGCAGGTTTCATGTGAAATGTTAGCATACTTAGAGAATTTTACAATCTACGTTGGCTTTAAGGAACAAAAATCATGTTCCACTTACTTACTGGTTCTGTGATAAAATAATCACTATGTAAATAACATTGTCAGCAGACTTTGCAAATGAACAAACAAATCTTGGCTATCAACTGGCACATTTTGTTGGTACCAAAAGAACTCTTTAAGTTTAAAACAATCTCTTTTAATTCAGAACAAATGTGCCATGCCAAAGTGCAACAAATATTGTGCGACACTCAATGAGACACTGACAGATAAGAGCTGCATGGAAATTACTAAATCCACCTGCAAAGCAATTCTGTACAAATTGCATTGCATGCAAAGGTCAATTCTGCGTGGTTGGACAGCTGTTCCTTGATGTCAGTTTCTCAACGTAGCCACAATTTAAGTCGCAGTGCATCAACTCCATTTAAATAGTATCTGAACAGCCTCTTATCTCGAACAAAACCAAGATTTTCATAAAGTTTCAAAGCAGACTTATTCGTTATTTCTGTTTCCAAAACAACCTTCAAAAAAATAAGAGAAAACTAAATTACAATTTTATATACTTTAAACTAATTTATAATTTCATAATTTGACAAATCACTTATAAAATAATCAGATCAAATACTTAAGAAAAACATTCCACATTTGTTTAAAAATTGATGCTGGAAACAATAAGTATTAAGGATGTACAGAAAGAACTCAGAAAAACAGTCATCAAAATTGTAATAATTATCTCTTGGGGCAAGGCGGGTGGGAACACTGGGGACATTTTCTGTTCTAACTGATTTTTGTAATGCTTGGAATTTTTAGCAATGAGCATATATGTTTTATACTAAAACAAATGAATTATTTCCCTGTGGAGAAAAGTAGTGTGACAAAAAGATGAAGAAAAAAATCAACTATCAAAGGTTTAAGAAAATAAACCAGTACTTGAAACTATTCAGATTGACTTCCAACTTCTATTATTTTTATTAATTTGTCATCATTTATCCTGGCGACAACTACCATATTGGTCTGGAGTCTAGACCAGAGCCTGCAAACTACAGCTCTTTGGCCAAATGTGCCTACTGTCTGTTTTTGAAAATAAAGTTTTATTGAAACACAACCATACCCATTTGTTTACATGGTATCTATGGCTGCTTTCTCAATACAAAAACCAACTTGAGCCATTGCACCAGAGACCTATGGTCCACAAAGCCTAAAATATTTACTATCTGGCCCTTTGCAGAGAAAGTTTGCCAAACCTAGACCAAAGGTACCCAAACTTTAGTGTACCTGGAGGGCTTGTTAAAATCCATTGCTGAGCCCCCCCCCCACAAAGTTTCTGAATAGGTTTGGGGTAGGCCCAAGAATCTGCATTTTTAAAAAAATGCCAAGTGATGCTAATGCTACTGGTCAGGGGACTACATTCTGAGAACCACTCTCTAGACATTATGGATATCAACACTTAACAGAGGAACACACAAAGTATTAACTACTATCTGGGTCTTTTTTAATACTACTGAACCAATGACCCTGACAACGAAGAACTGAAACTTTTGAAAATTACGTGATTTTCTTTTCTTAATTTATTTCTACCTTCCTCTACCAAAACATCCTTTATCCCATCCTCCCAACTTTTACACACATAGCTCTATTTGCCTTTCTTCTCAACCTACCTCACTGAGAATTATCAACACAGTGAGCCACAGTTATTGCTGGGATGTCACAGCCCTTAGGTGTTTGGAGTGGGGACAAAAGGGCAAAGTATAATTAAACAAAGGCCCAAGTGGAGCTGTAAGTCTCTTCCTGTTCTCTCTCAAGCTATCAAAAAACCTGACAAGAATTCAAGCAATGCACATAAATAATAAAGACTGTACCTCAACTCGTGGTATCCAAAATGGACCTCATGATCAACTCCTCCTCTATAATTCCACCTATCAGTAACAAGATCTCCATCTCACCAATGCCTCCAACTTGAAAACTAGAAGTCATCTTTGAAGCTCTTTCCTCTGCACCCCACCCCATACATCCAAGCACTGAGCATTTCAGTTCTCTCTCAAATCCCTCTCAAATGGATCCTCTTCTTTCTATCCCTTTGATACCACTCTAGTCCAAACTGCCAACAACTTTCATTGTAACTACAAGGGCCTCCTAACTCAAAAGGTCTGCCATTCTCTATGTTATTAATTCTCTACTTAAAACCATTTATTGACTCCCTTCTGTCCTCAACATAAAGTCCACAATCTAAAGATAATCGAAAGAGACCTAAAACGTCCATCAAGATATGGCCTCTACCTAACTTGCCAATTTGGCTTTAGGTCTCCCTGCTTGCTCTCCATGATTAACAATAAGCTTTCAGTTTCTGGAACCCACTATAATCTTTCCCACGTGGGACGTTTCACATAAGCTGTTTTCTCTGTCTAGAAGAATGCTCTTCCTATCTTCCTTGCTTTTGGCCTTAGCTTGTCACTTCCAGACTGGGTGGAGTGTCCCTTTCCTTTCATACTACCCAGCAGCACTCTACACTGCTCCTCATTCACCTGCACTCTCATTCAATATTTGATGAGTTTGTCATCTCTCCTAGCTGGTGAGCCCAACAAAGGCAGAGATCAATGGGTATCTCCTTCACAGCTCTTTCCTCTGCAACAAACACACTGTCTGACACACAGAAGGCTCTTCAATATTTGCTAATTATATACGTTGTTAGCACCTTTTATTATATTACATACATTAAACAAAAGTATTGCCAAGCTTTTAAACGACCAGAGTACTTAAAGAGAAAGCATCATCTTAAGGCAACTACCTATGCAATTAACTCATAAAAGCAAATCACATACTAAATCTAAACTTTTGAAAGATCTAAAAACAAGTAATTAATAGTTCAGGAACAAAGGAAAATGTTCCTAGGAAGGCCTTAAATAATAGTGAGATAGCAAACAAACTGGTTTAAGATAAGAATAAAAAGTCAATGATTTCTCTTTGCTCTTAAAAAAATGGAATTTAATTTTTAATAATGTATGCTATCCTGCCATCTGGAAGACTCCAGTCTGGTCAATATAGGTTTTCAGTTTTGAATAATTCTCTTGGGTAATTCCTAGAATTCTGTTTTAGGCCAGCACCTAATTACAGCTAAAATGTTAAATTAAAACAAATCATATGAGAAGCAATAAAGCAGCAACAACTCAAAACTTGAAACTGATTTCACAGAAATAACAAGGAGTGCAACAGTTTAAAAAAATAGCTACTATATATTGAAGGCTTACTAAATGCTATGTAAAGCATTTCACATGCATGTCATTATGTTATTTTCACAGTAACCCTATGAAATAGATATGATTATCTCCAGTCTACAAATGAATGAAAATCAAGGACACCAATAGCACAAGAACAGACCGGACTCCAAATCTGAACCAGAGCTTAATAGTATCCACTCTTCTGTACCTCCCCAATTGCTTCCCAGAGTAAAACAAAGCAACAAATGAGAGATCTATCCTATTTACAACACAACGAAGGCGATCTAAGTCCATGTTCATTAATAGTTGCCAATCTAAAATATTCAAAACAAATCTGAGGCTAATTACAGCTACATAAATACACACTTAAGGTGTGGTAAGGAGTTGAATTCAGGTTTGTTGGCATCCTAACAACAAACAAAAGTGTGCCCAATTACATAGAAAAAAATTACCCAAAGGGCTAATCTTAAACTAAAAAGAGTCTCTTGGCATGCTCACATTTTCTAAACAAAGAGATCATGTATTATTTGACATAATAGAAAATGTCAGAAAAAAGTAACTACTTTTTAATACTTATTCATTTAAATTCTTATAGCTATATTAAAAGAGAATCTGAGTTTATACTGGAAATTCACTATTAAACTATTCTTTTAGTCCACATCATGGGAGTATTACATAGGAAGCCAAAGGATAATGAGGTTATTTTGGTCCTGAAGAAACTTGGCAAAGTTGAATTCTACTTAGAGAAAAAAGATTACAGTGAAGTTCCATGGATTCTCTTAGCAACAAACCATTGTCATGATAAGCCAAACCATTACTGTTTAGAAAGCCTTTATTAACATTGTAGGCTGGAAGCTCCTGGAGGGAGGGCAGGCTTGTTAACTGCTAGAACCCAAGCACTAGTTCATTTTCTGACACCTCACAGGCCATACACTGATACCGCTGAATTAACAACTTTATTGCTCTTCATAACATCCGTTTAAGATCAGAATTACCATCACATTGCAGAGACAAAGCAGCAGATTTATAAAAAGTTAAATGACTTGCCTACAATCACACAACTATACTAAGTGACAGAACATGGATCTAAAACCCAGGCTTCTCATATCCAGTTCTTTAATTAGGCCAAACTACTCAACCAAAAATTCTTACTGCTTAAATAACTTTATTTTACTCTGTTCTTAACCTTGCAGCTTGTGTCTCATAAGCAAAATATGTTTCCAGTGAAACTAAAAATGTTAAACATAAATTATTAAATACAAAAAGCTTATAAGTCATCTTGTACATTATCATGAAATGTATGTTATTTTGTTAATATGTTAACAGGTTTATTACTGGTTATTTAAATAAAGTAGGCCACTGTTGGTGGGAATGTAAATTGGTACAGCTGCTATGGAAAACAGTATGGAGGTTCCTCAAAAAATTAAAAGTAGAAATATCATATGATCCAGCAATCCCACTTCTGGGTATACATCCAAAGGAACTGAAATCAGGATCTCAAAGAGGTACCTGCACCCCCATGTTCACTGCAGCATTATCACAATAGCCAAGACATGGAAACAACCTAATTGTCCATCAACAATGAATGGATAAAGAAAAAGTGGCATATATATATATGTATACATATATATGATGGAATATTTTTCAGCCTTAAAAAAAGAAATCCTGCCATTGTTACAACACATGGATGAACCTGGAAGACATTATACTAAGTGAAATACGTCAGACACAGACAAACACTGCATGATCTCACTTACATGTGGAAACTAAAACAAACTTATAGAAGCAGAGAGTTGAATTGTGGTTGCCAGGGGCTGGGGGAGGGGGAAATGGAAAGATGTTGGTCAACTAAAAATGTTTTAAAGTCACATACTACACACTTAAATTCCATTAAGAAATTCTGATTCCAGTGTATTCTCATCATATTTGAGTTAGTTCTGAGTGTTAGTTCTGAGTGTTAATATCATGGTAATCATACCTTAAATCTAAAAAAAATTTTGAAATTTAAATTTCCAGAGATGAAGATTTCAAGGACATCTACAGCTTAAAAAGTAAAGCACTGTTCCTCATGCTGATCAATCACCTGCCCCATTCTAATTTATTTCAGAAAAACGTACAATAAAAGCAAATGGCCACCATGTGGGTTCATTATTTTAGGTACACAAATCCTACTTTAAAAATTACATTTTAGAAAACTCACTCATGCTATTTGTACGCATTTTTCTTATTACTTCTCCTAACGTAAAACAAGAACCCGAGATGCTTGTCCTAGTAGTCATTACATGGTTTGGCAGCCAGAGCATGTGGGGGCGTAACCAAATTCAAGTCAGATCAGCAGTATGGGTAATGCATTTCTTATGCATGAAGCAATGAATCCACTTGTTTCCTTTTTGAAGCTATAACTTTTTAGTCAGCTCCAAATATATAGAAAATGAAAAAGAACTTCCGCTACGGCTTTAACATGTCTAATTCTGATATAAAAAGTTAAGAAAGTCATAGTAAGGCAAAATAAAAACATCTATTAGACCAGGAGAGTACATCATTATTATATGAGCAAAAACATAATCTACATTTCAACTCTGTGATTACTAACTTTGGTTTAATTTACTCTGAATTTATCTTAAAATGACAAGTGGCAACCAAGAGCAATATAAACATGACTCAAGGTCACAGCTAAATTCTGCAAACAGAATAGAAAGTAAAAATAGACCGGATGTACATGTTAAGGCTTCAGACAGAGATTTCCAAATGTACCTCTGTTAATAGGTTCATAGATTTAAAAATCTCTATAAGAATAAAAAAATCGCAATACAACCGAAATAGAAATGTAGAAAATGTAATTTAAACCCCTTCTCAAATGTCTTTCTGATAATTTGCCAAAATTTCTTAACACTTTAAAAGAAAGGAAGGTTGGCTTAACTTAATGAAAGTAAAAATCACTTAGTTGTTTTATAATTGGTCATTGTATTCTTGGAGAATTATAATTTCAAAGTTTTCCTCAAAACAATTTTATACAAGACTATTTTTACATACAATTTTGTTTTTACCAAAAGGTATTTTAATAATTTGGTTAACTCTGCAGATACATTTTTTTCATCTTACTATGTACAAAAATAACTAAGACGATTGCTGTTCCTAGAAAGCTTATAGAAAGCTCAGAGAGAAAGACAAGTTAACTAAATATACAAATCAAAATTCCAAAGTGCTTTAAAAAAAAAAAAAAAAAAAACGAGGAGAGATACAGATAAGATGCTGGAAGCACAGAACTAATCATTCAACAAATATTTATGAATCATGTACTCAATCACAAATGCCACACTAAGTACTAACAATACAGCAGTTAAACAAAAAAAGGCATCTCTGCTCTCCTTAGTGGCTAAGGCACAGACTCTGAACAAGCATATTTAAGCAAAGTATTACAAAAAGGGAAGTTAAGAAAACCACAGAGGGTGTGAATGATTCTGTCCAGAAGAGTTAAGGGAAACTTAAAGGAGTTGCTGATATTTGAATTGTGTCTTAAAGACTGAGAAGTATTTTAATAAGCAGAGGAGGACCAAGAAGCTACTGAGTATATATAGCACATTAGTGCTATATATACTACACATTAGTGAGAAAGTAGTTACACTGAGCAGACGGGGAAGAAACCAGACCAGACGGGATGAAACAGTAATATAAGGAAGTGGCACCAACAAACACACTACTATCAAAAATTAGAAGGGAAAAGGGAACAGAAGAGTTTGTTGCTTATATGGTTTAAAACTCAATGAAAGGGAGAGTGAAAGCCTTATCAAGAGTAAACAAGAGTTCTCTGTCTCTTCAAACAGCAAATACTTTATCTGAACAATGTGGGACACAGATAATTTTTTTAAACCACAGAAGAGTTCTCTAATCCAGAGGCAGACTATTCAAACTGCAAAAACTATCCATTTAAAACCATACAACAGGAATAAATTCATGGCACTATCCCCATTTCAGGTTAAGATTAACTAACACTCATTGCTTCAAAATTAAGAGAAATGAATCAGAATTAGACTTTTAGGCCCACAAAGAAAAGAGTATTTCTACCATAAAATGTGTCACTAATTTAGGATTTAACTTTGAGACTAAAACAATATAACCAAAATCTCCATATCATTACTCAGAACTTTCAAAGAAAAACCAATACTATTTAAACATTTGATCAGTTAAGGTAAAGCACACAGCCTGTCTCCCAGGTAGTGGCGATAACTCAGAAAAGGCATAACCATAAGAAACACGCTCATAACACCGCTCTTCACTGGAAACCACTCTACTCAGTAGCAGTAGAGAATCAAAACATGATCTTAGCATCCCAAAGATTTCTCCAAACTGTTAAGCAACCTTTTTTTGAAGCCTGACTTCCCTGCTTGATGAGCTGACTAAGCCAACGTGGGTATGGACCAAACAAAGACTTATGTTTCCAGTTTGTTTCCAGAATGTTTCCAGTCCAATTCTCTTCCACAAATTTTAGTTATCAGCCATGTAGATGACCAGGATCACCACAATTTTTACTTTTTGATGTTAAAAGCTGTGAACAATATGAGACCCCTCACCATGTGTGACTTATCCTATTTGGAGTAAAATTAAATACCCTTAAATCCCAGGCTGACTTCTCTGTGCTGCCCAGTATGTCTGTAGGCCTTCTCATACAACCACCATTTAGTGTGATCTGTCAGAATACAAATAATGTGAACAGGAACGTGAAAATACTCTGTGGTAAATCTCTGTATTCCGACATGGAAATGTGTTCACGAGATATTGTTAAGTGGAAAAAGTAATTACTGCACAATAATAATTATGATTTCATTTGTATAAAAAAAGTATTACACATTTGCATACTGGTGTGCTTAGAAAATTGGAGGATGCATATTGAAAGATTAACAGTAGCTATAAGTGGAAAGAAGGATGAAGAGTTGAAGAGCGTGAGCATGGTGGAAGAAGGGACTTTGTACCCCAAAATACACACATACATAATGGTTAATGATAGTGTATAAACTGGGTAACAAAAAATCCCACTTTTAAAAAAAGTAACCAAAACAAGTTACTTATTATTGTCAGTCTGCTGAGGAAAAAAGTACCTAATTTCACGTATTTTCAGAACTCTCTAAGGCACACTTGCCCTCCGACAATAAAGACAACTGTCACTCGTACTGCTCATAAAGTTACTAGCACAACCTTGCTCTTTCTTAGTTATCAAGGCTATATTAAAGACATCTATAATTCCCTAGTTTATACTTATTCCCTTCCACATTATATAACGGTAAATCTTAACATTCCCAACCGTCATCATTATTTATTGAGCACCCACCATGTGTAAAACATGGTGCTGTAAGATACAAAGAAATTATACCTGCCGTCAGGCCTTACAAACAAGCTAAAAAGAGAAGATGCTCTTACGTTAATCTACAGATAGCTCTACATTTAAAAAGTGGTTGTCTTTTCTTCCCTCAAGCCTTATCATTATTTAATGCTGAGAGATTTTTTTCAAGTGTGAAATGTCCTTCATATGGGCTGAGTTGGCCCATAGTCAAAAAGAAAAAAACAGGAAGTGTTATTTAGAGAGAAATTAAGGCTAATATGCAAGTAAATTACAACAAGGTTTGTAATAAGAGCTACCTTAAATGACTTAACTGATAACAAATCCTCAGAATATCAATTATTTACTGAAAACGTCTAAGATTTCACCTTTACATTTTGTCACAGAACAAATTTTAGCTCCCATTATCATCTTAAAATTTGTTCTGGGTCAAAATTCAGGTGTTTTTAAATGGTATATAATTTTCAGCACAAGATGCATTTGTATAATAATAGTCTGCAATGAAATATGCAGTACAATTTATTACAGGATATTTATAAAAACAACCAGGAGAAATTGCTCAGGATACAAGGTCTTACACATTTGGAAAAACTTACCTCATCACAGTCTCCTTCAACCATGGCATATATAGCTTTCTTAACCAAGTTAGTACCTAGAATATAGATCTGAGTATTAATGAATGAAAAATGTGATTAGTTTCTTAAAGACACCTAAATTATGATATTCATAATAAGCACGGAAATGTCAAATGCTGGGTTCTACCTTGAATGCAGATACACAGATTATCTCAAATTAAATGAGAAAAAATTTAGATTATAACTGAGAGGCCAACAGAACCTACACATAGCAATGTAAGTTTCCTCTTGAAGGACCGATCTCCTGATATATTCCTTTTTCTCAGGTGTAATTATTTGCTCCAAGCAAGAATTTGTGCTATTCTGTTTGAAGGAAAAAAAGAAAAAAGCAAGATATGGTATGGTCTGAGCAACCCAGGAACTCCTTGAGCTGGCCAGAACTCACCGCGTGATTCTTGAGCCAATCTTGCCAAAGATCCCACCAGAACTGCTGTGACCCAGAGTGGGCCCAAGCTACTGAGCTGGTTCCTACAAACCCTACAGTGAGCTTAGGCACACTAAAGTCCAGCACTCACAAATTAGGTCAATGGTATGTCTCTAAATGTCTAGAAAAATGTATCCTAGTTTAGGGTCAGATATATTTGGTACAATAAAGGGAAAACAATTGCCAAATTTGAAGAGAAGAAAGAAACCCAAATTTTATAAGAAATATCTTAATTTTCAAACCATGAACACGACCAAGCACGAATTACATGGGCCAAACAAAATACGTCTGAGGGCCAGGATGCAACCCTCAAGCCACTGGTTTCTGCCCTCTAAACTACCCAGACAATTGCCTATCATTTGCCATGAGTCCTTATCAGCTCTTTTTTATGCGTCCAAGACTCAAATTTGACTTATATAACAAGTCCAATTCATTAAAAATCTTAGTGGTAAACTATAACACTATAAGAAAAGTTTGTTAAACCTAATATATTAAGTAAACCTATTCATAATGATTTCTCATGACATCTCAGATTGTATGAAACAATCTTAAATTGGACAATAACACTCAAAGATTAAAAAAAAAACCTACATGTGACAAAACTGCTAGTAATTAAATACTGGTACAGGCATCAAATCTTCTTTCATGAATACTTAGCTTCATTCAGTACATCCCAGAATTTGACATGCTCAGACAAGTGTTTGTCTACCTGATCCTCCATCTTGAACAAACTGCCAGTAGGTCATAGACACTAGGATAGTGGTTCTTAACCAGGCTTACATCACAGTCACCTGGGGAAGCTTCAGCCCTACTTCTAACAGGACAAACAAGATTCTCAGGGGGAGTAGCTTACACATTTGTTTTTAAACCATCCAGATGATTCTAATGACCATTATAAACCATGAGTACAAGATTACCTGAAAATGCCAGGCAAGGTAGACCCAGGAAAGAGATGAGTCTGGGAATAGTAAACAACAATTCTCCTTTCTCCTGGTCCTCCCTGAATTGCTAATATAATGTTTGATGACTAAACAATACTAACCATGCTAAACAATACTAACCATCTCCCTAATTTTGCCTTGATTGAGGTCTACTTAACCCAAGTATGGACAGCTGCTTGAGGGCTGTGATCAAGTGCCCTAATAATGCTATTAAAAACTGCAGTACTTAGTATAATGTAAAGCATTTTGAATGTGATCAAAAAAAAACGTTTGGAAGTGAAAACTAATCACGTGCTACTTGTTAGAAAGATAACCTCTCAAACAATAAAACAATTCATCTTAAGAGCACTTCGAAAATGTTTTGAAACAAAAACAATCTTAATTTTCTTCCCTTAGCTTCATGCTCATTTCTACATATTTACATTTAAATCTTTTCCTTCAAAAAACAAAAATGAAAATAACATGCATTCTTTTAGTGACATAATATTTTTCTTACCAATGCCATTTCTCCTGTATTTGGAATCCACAGCTAACATGGCTATATAACCTCTGCGGAACATCTTTTTGTGCATATCCAACTTGCAAACGATGGCACCTACACACTCCTCCCCTACCATGGCCTTAAAAATAAACAAACAGTTATGAAGAATAACGTTGCCATCAGGTCCTGCACAATTACCCAGGGAAACAGCAACCAACAATTGGTCAGCATTTTTGAGGGAGGAAGAGATAACGAGAATTCTAGCAAGAGAGCAATCACGGAAGTTTCAGAAACCTAAATCCCAGAAATCCTTCGAATGTCCTAGTTTTAAAATCTTCGACATTCTTGAGAACATGAATTTCTTATGCTTATTGGCAAAGCCTAGGGGAAAAAAAGCAAGATTTCTACAAGGTCAACATTCAAGTACTTTCTAAGAGGTGCTTATAATTATTTGCAATAAAGACCTATGTATTTAAGATTTGGGAAGGGGGAAATATGTGAAAATATTTTTAAGAAAAAGTCTATTCATTAGGATATGATAAAATATTGTGAAACTTGCTTATCAGCAGAATACTATAAATTTAAATAACAATAGTTTTAGTGAAAGACAGATATAAGACATAATATTTATACCCGAACAGTAGATAGATTAGATCTTTCAAAGAAAAAAACAGTTTCTAAGGTATTCCTTAGATCCTATCCAAGGGGTTTTTGTTATTGAAGGACTACTAAGACTAGATATATGATGGTCTCATTTTTAGGACACTCCTGACAGTGTGAGTTATTGTCATAAAGCTCATAGAATATCTAGAACTCCAAGTCAGAGCTTCATATTAAAACAAAAGCTTTAATATGATTTTACAGAGCTATTTTAACAAAAATGTACAGCTTTCCAGAGTGTTAAAGGTTACATGTTAAATAAATGCTAATCATGCCCTATTTTCATTAAGATTTCCAGTGTTGTCATTGAAAATGTTTTTCAAAAATTCCATCACTGACAAAAAGTTCTAGTAATACTGTATTCTGGTAAACATAAATAGGGCAATAGCTCCAACTGTTTAATAGTGTGTCAGCCGGAAATATGTTTGCTGTAAAGAGCCCTCATTAAAAAAATACCAAAACTTCAAATTCTCTCTTAATAAAATTAACTTTTCAGAACTATTTCAACAACAAAAACCAGAATGAGTTAAAAAAAATTAATAAGAAAAACCCAATTTATACTTAGTATCTACTTTAACTTGAATTTGTTGTGACTTTCTTTAGTTCATCATTCTGTAAAGTGATTAAAAGTTTTTTGTTTTTTTAACTGTGGAGAAATCTTTTAGGCAAGATAATTCTAATCCAATTCACGCAAACCTAAACTAGGTCAGAAAAATCCTTTTGAAGGGATATTAAATTCAACAATCCAAACTAATTCATTTCTGTTTTATCACACAATCCAAAACTATTTTGGGCCAATAAACCTCTAAAACGGTTATTTACATTTCCATTCACAATAAATCAATCTGGTTCATTCAAAATTCTTTTCAAAACAAAATTTCTTTCTGTAGTTAAGACCTGAAATATACACAAAAGTTGTTTGGTTGAACAACCCTTACAGCATTTTCTGATTTGAAAATTACTCACTTCAAATATATGTGTGTGGTTGTGTACAACACCAAATGGTACATTAAAAATTTTTTGACCTGACCTCATAAGCTGGGGGAAATGGATATCTACATAAATCTATGACACAAAGCTGTAGGACAGCTATACTTCACAATTAATAAACCATCCAAAAGAGGAAAAAATTAACACCACTAGACACAATACAACTGGACAATACTTTCAAATTGGATAGGAATTTCAAACAAATCTTTGTCCTTTGACCAAGAAAGTAAAGCAAAGTATTATATCAGTTCACTCTTGGACCAGATTGATTTCTTCCTAATTAAGAATCTGTAGGAGCAAAAGTCCAGTTGTATCCATCATTTAAAAATAAAAGCCCAATATAAGATACATTGTTTAATAAATAAAATGTTCGTAGTGAGGAAGGCCAATGCTGTATTTTTTCCTGATAAATTGCTGATGAATATACACTTACAAGAATAACTAAACTGCCTGTCAATTATTCCAAATAAAAGCTTCTGCATATACATTTGGAACTCATGCTGTTAAATGTGTTCTTTTTTCAAGGATGTGAACTGAAAAATTCCTGGCAAGATCAAGACTTAACTCTACAAGGCCAACTGCTTGTCAATCTATAAACTTGAAAAATATAAATTGTGTAAAATAGAGATTCCCAAATTCCAGAACACTACAAATAGGAAAACAGAGGAAGCCAGGAAGTTAACTTTAGAACAAATAAGCGAAGTAGTATAGTAGATCAGTAGTAATGAGCTTAAGAAGTTCAAAAAGGCACCAACAACTGAAAATACCATGAACTCAAAAGAGGTAGAGATAAATTAGTAAAGTACAGAGTAATTGACAGTTCCTCCCATTCGTATAGTACTGTTACAATTATTAGGAAGAATCATAAGAAACCGTCATCTTGTTAGTCAAATATGGTCAAGTATTGGCAATTTTCTAAGGTTCAACCTCATATATTCCATTTGATCCATTACAGGTTACTCATGGAAACCAGGAACATTCTGGAGGTTTCTAATCTCTTGAGATTGATGTTTGTAAGGACAGGTGTCCCTTGGTGAAGCATAACCTAGTGACACAATGATCTTTGCTGAACGGGTCAAGGGTGTGTCATTTTTCAGATTCTTACTTGTTTCCATAATGAAAAGCCAGGAGACCTGGGATCAAATTTTACCTCTCTGCCACTAAATAGCTAGAGATTGAAACATTTTAAGTCACTCCGGTCCTTAATTTCTTTTCATTAAAAAAAATAATAAAGTTGAGCTAGATTATCTCTAGGATCCTTTACAGTTCTAAAATGATAGGATTTAGGGCCGGGCCCATGGCTTAGTGGTTAAGTGCGCACGCTCCGCTGCTGGAGGCCCGGGTTCGGATCCCGGGCGCGCACCGACGTACCGCTTGTCCAGCCATGCTGAGGCCGCGCCCCACGTACAGCAACTAGAAGGATGTGCAACTATGACATACAACTATCTACTGGGGCTTTGGGGGAAAAATAAATAAATAAAATTATAAACTGATATGATTTAAAATAAACATACACACTTGTATTTCTTTAAATTAGTTCTTAGGGGAAATTCAAAATTTTTTAAATGCCAATATAAATGCCCCAGTTCTAAATGGCCTCTGCTTGTTTAATTGTTGTTTTATGTTCAATACCTCCAGATTCACACTTGCACTAGTAAATCTTATAGGTGAACCACTTGTGCATATTTCAATTTCTAGATATTCAGAATCGAATGTTAAACTGGCTATTAACGGCTAAAGTAGAAATTAGCTGGTGAATTGGGAGAAGTCTACGTAAAACCAAAACTAAAGTTTACTAAGTTTATCAGAGTCTAAAATGGCAGACAAGTTGCGAGGCCTAGGTAAAATCAGAACTCAAAAGCTGACTATCATATATACACAACTATTTTCTGGAATGAACAGAAATATATATATATATATATATATATACTATTTCAATTTAAAGTGCGACTCAATTGTATGCTTTTGTGGGTTAGCTTACAATTAAATCAATCTACAATTTTTAGCAATTACAAAGGCATTTGATATGACATTTATAATAGTACTATAAAATCATTTTCCCATATTCATTGACACAGACATGACTTAGAACTTCTATTTTGATACAATGATTAGAATACTGTAAGAGCAGTTTTGTAGAATATAAAATAGTTCCCACAGTATAAACAAACATACTAAATTGAAGTTTAGCAAAGTGAACACAGAAAAATAACAGAACTACTATTACCTACAATACTGAGGTTATATTTTCAAATTACCACCAAGCTATGAAATCAAAAAGTCAGACTTCTAAAGTACTGTCAAAACGTCTTGCAGGGAATTACTAAATGCAACCAAGTCAATGCTAAAACAATACAAAATGGTAGTGGCTTTTCCTTCACATATCATAAAATACTCCTTAAAAGCATGCTGCCTTTCTTCAGTAAAATTCAGTGGAAATACACTTCTGAGTACATGATCCGAAGCATACACCTGCAGTCAATATTTAATTGAAAGGTCTGATACAGACTGAAAGTGGTCAATATTATTGGAAAGAAACTATTGGTACTGCCAGTAGTATGTAAATTAAAAAAAAAAATCATTCAGCTTGTTTGGTAACCAAGTCTTTTTTGCTTACATATAAAATTTTTTCTCAATTATACTTCACACAAGCTAGTGTTACTCCTAGTATTTAGGTTATCTATGACCAGTTTCTTAAAAAAATAAAATTAGTAACAACTTCGCACTTCATTTCCTACATTCCACAAAAGGGTATTTTGTTCAAGTCTCAGGAGTCTTTCAGCAACCAGGAGTGTTAGTAGTGCCTTCTGCAATCCAGCACCAGAAAGCAGGCTGGCTACAACTGTTAACTGTCCTGCTGAAGTAAAAGGAAACAATCTCCATAATTATGGCATATGCTTGTAAGATTTAATTCTCCAGTGTGGCCACAGCAAGTTTACTGACAATCATGTTCACCAAAACACTCTTCCCTGATTATGTCTGTAATTGAGAGATTAATAAGGCCTGTATTCCAACAGAACCATATTCAAATTAAATGAATGCAAAGTGCTTCGAGGATGAGGGAGGGTAATTAAAGATGGTTAAACGTGATTATAAGTTAATGCAAACAGGATACAAGACCCCCAGCATGCATCACACAGGCTTGTTGCATTTACATCAGTTATCAAGTTAACTCGGATCGGGAAGTCTTACCTTCAAAACAATTTCATGAAAGAACTAGGAGTGTGTACACGCACTTTACATCATAAGGTACTAAGAAATGCAGGATACATCCACTGCCACTCTCAGCCCTCACACTCCCTGCCCTGCACGGCCTGGATCTCTCTGCTGGGTTCACCCTCTTTTCATTCCATCCACTTACCAAGAAGCACAGCTGTGGCCAGTTGTGGATAAAATATCTATAGGTATAAATGGAGTAGGGTTCAGACAGATCTTTGGTGATCAGTCTCATGATATCGGGCATTTGTAGCTCGGATTCATATCGGACATAACGTATCGTCCGATCCTGCCCAGGCTCAGCCTCCCTGCCCGAGAGGCTTCTTAAACTGCAGCCGGCGGTCAGGGACGAAGACAGCAGCCGCACCTGCTCGTCGTCCTCCTCCCGCTCGGCGCCCCCCGCCAGTCCATTGCGGGCCGCCGCGGGATCGCTCGCCGCCGCCGCCGCCGGGACGGGGAGCGCAGTCCTTGCGCCGCTGGGGAGGCAGCGAGGGGGGCTCTCGCCCGAGTGTACTCCGGCTCCTTTTGTGGCAGTCGCTCTGGGGCCCCCGTCGGGGGCGGCCGCGGTCGTGGCCGCCTCCGCCGCACTCAAAACCTTGCTCTTGAGGGAGGCGGCCGCCCGGAGGTGCCGCAGTTCGGGGCTGATCAATCCGTTGAGCTGCGGCTGCTCCTGCGGCGGCGGCGGGCAGCGGG